CTTCCCCTTTCAGTAGGACATTTTTATAACAACTGCCGATTTTGACCTTTACCCCCTCTCCTTCCCCCTTCCCTCCGGAAAATCTCGGTTAATCTTCGTGCCAAAGTGTCGCAGTTATCCTTCTTTGGAAAACTCGTGGTATTTCACTGTGTTTTCCATAGCATTAGCTATTCCACTGCCGCAGCACTTATTGCAATCAGCGTGTTGCCGAACTCTGGGTCGTCCCCCTCCTCTCCTACACCGCCCTGCTTGGAGCCCTGACCTCCCGGGATGAGCCAGAGGGTACTGTGTCCTCCTCCCCATGCCCCCTTCCGGGGAGCCCCGGCTCCGCTCCGGCGAAATACTTTCACTCGTCCAAGATTCACGAACTGGGCTCTCGAGTCTCGGGCCCGAACCGGTTATCCCACAGCCACGGATGGGTTCCGACACCCGGTTGCCGGTTGTCCGGAATCCGGGTTCCCCCTCGGGCACTGCAGCGTCGGTTTTTCGCACGAACCGGTGCCGCTGCCATTCAACTTTCCACCGAGTCATCGCGGCCACGTCCCCTTCCCCGCTGCCCACTCGCAGCGTTCGCTTCGCCTTATTTACTCTTCGCCGCGGACGAAAATAACTTCGAGGACCGGTCGCGGTTTTGTCCCGTCGTCGTCGTCGGTGCTCGAGGTTGAGGATAGCGCGATCTCGCGGCGGTCGCCGGAACGACCGTGGACTGTGGAGTGGGTCCTCGAAGGTGCGCGAGGAAGTGGAATTATTTTGCGCAGCCGACCCTCGAAGCGCCTATAAAGGGTTAATATAGGGGTAGGTAATATAGAGACTCCTCTCGTTTCGGAGGAACGAAGATCCTGGAGGATCCGATCAAGAGGAGTCTCTCAGTCACAGCTCGACGATGACGTCAGTCTATTTTTAACGATTTTTTGACGCATTTCTTCTCCGTGTCAGTCCTGTTCACCCCCCTCGCCATCTTTTAGAAGGGTCTGTTTTCTGACGTCATTTATGGACGGCCCCTTAGGGGACGTTTGTACATAACAGTATCGACAAGCGAAAATTGCAAGTTTTGGCTGGCCGGATGGTTTATGACATTGTTTCCTCAGACCCTGTTTCACGGGTTTTATAGCACCGTAGACGCCCTGCCCCTCGGGATGGGACAGCCGAACACTGGCGCACAATGAGCAACGCCCATGGAGTTATCGCTCTTCAGAGGGGACTGCGATCGGGCTTCGGTTGCCAAAGTTCGATCCTCAGTCGTCGGTGACGGCCTCTCGGACAACAAGGGTACATTTTTAACGATCTACTGATTAGAAGGATTGCCCAACATTCGCGAGACCGGGAGACCTCACGCTATCGTGCAGGGCGGGACGCGGAGGAAAAAATCAGTGGCGTGGCGTACTTCGCGAAATATCGATTGATCTGTCATTTAAACCTATGGAAAAGGATCGAAAAGCAGGGTGTTCGCAACGAACACCTTAATAATCGATTCTATACCATAGCTTCAAATGTGAAATTGTCGATAAACGATCATTCATGCTTCGCCACTGAAAAAAACAAAACGAGAAACGGGAACGTCTTTGACTACCTGCGTCTAGACGAACGTATGGGACGGTGAATTGTGCGTTTTTTTTTTGTTGATATGTTCGATTTTGATTTGTACACACAATTTCGCGAAATACTCACTGTCAGGTTTTCGATAAAATCATATATCGAGCTCGCAATAAGAGCTCGATAAGTCAAGTCGCACCCTGCAATTTTTAAGTACCCATTATGGATGCATGTGCCGCGATTCCTATCCATGTCCACCGACATGACGTCAGTGAACACTGAACAGCTGGGGCTAGCCGCCACCGGACATCCGGGATTTTGCACATCTGTATGTTTCGCAGATTCAGCTCTCATTCGTGTCGGGATAATTGTTTTGCTCTGGAATCAAAGGGAATACGTTCCCCCTGCTGGAGGAACGTGTTGCAATTTGCCCCCACATTTTACAATTATTATATGACAGGGTTGCCACCAGGGAATACCGGGAAATGTCAGGGAATCTTGAAAAATCAAGAAAAACTTGGAACTGTTAGGGAAAATGGCAAAAATGTCAGGGAACGTTTTTTAGTGTCCACACTTTTATTTGTTTCCTATAGAATGGCTTTAACTTTTCGAACAACGAATTTTGCCTTAAAAATGTTTCGACTTGTGTCTTTTTAACCATCTGGCATATCTTCAATTCGTCGCTTGGTTGACGTAAGGGCGTAACTACACACAGAGATGAGCCAGGAAAATCGTTGAGTAGTACGGACGACAGGGGTAATCCCCGCCGAACGTAGTCACGCCCTTATGCCGAGAAGGCGACGAGTTGTCAGGGAATTTCACCAAAATTTGTCAGGCATAACAGGAAAATGTCAGGAAATTTAATTTTCCAGATTCGGTGGCAACCCTGATATGATCGTGCAGTATTAGGGTCCAAAATTTCAGTGAGTTTTCTTTTAATCACAAGAATAATTATCACAATCGAAATTTCCAATCGTGAAAGCTCAAAATTTCCCAAGACTGATGGGATATAGTTAGTTTTTTCGTCCGATGAACGAAGCCCAAAAGTTCTCAGCGCTGTTGACATTTCGTTAGTTTTTTCGTCCGGTGACCGACGAGCTCCAAAGAAAGGCCCAAGCTCGATGACAAACGGGTAGAATCGGGGACGTTATAGGCAGTGACGTCAACCCTTAAATTATTCAAGCGTTTCGCTTAGCATCCGAGGAGTTTTCTTCCGCTCGCCGTCCGGCCCCGGCCCCGGCTCCGGCACGCACGTCAACCCACTCACAATCCTTTCGGATCTCCCCGAAATAAGTTAACCACCTCGAACATTCGAGAACGATCCTCTTAGGACTGAGCGACAGGACAAAACCCCAGATTTATTTTTCATCCGCGAGGTTCCCATAGCCGGAAAAACAAGGAGAAATCTTTGAATTTTTCATTCAGTCATCACTGAAAAAAAAGTGAAGTTGCTTTAACATTCTGGATGTAAAACAAGTGTGCGAGAATTCGTAAAATGCTGAATTATTACCCGCCACAGAAGTTACTTTAGCAATGCCAAGATGTAAAACTAACTGCTGTTGAGGGTAATTCAGCATTTTATAAGTTCTTGCACACTTTTTTTACATCCCAATTGTTAAATCAACTTCTCTGTTTTTTTCGGTGTATCGCCACCTTCCGGCCAAAGGGTCACAAGCGCCACGCGACAAAAAAAAATTAATAAAAAAATGAAATGAATAAAGAAAATGATTATACATATTTTATTTATTTTATTTTAACCTTAAAATATATCGTCACCTTCCGGCCAAAGTACCACACGCGCCATTCTACGTTTAAAAGTATGCGCCGCCATTTTTTTTTTTTTTTTTTTTTTTTTTTTTTTTTTTTTTTTTTTACAGAGAAATCATTCAACGAAGCTGTCCGAAAATTTCACCGAATTTTCTTTGTTCTGCCGATGAAATTCCGTGAAATTTTCAAACAGATTCAACAGAAAATTTCTCTGTAAGCAAATCTCGTTTTCCTGAAAATGGAAAAATATTGCGTCGCAAACGAGACTCCAAATGCTCGCCAAATATGAACTTGTCACTACCCTCCATCCTTCCTTTATAGTCACATTTTATCATCCCGCACTGGAGAAAAAAACCATATTGGATCTAGAGTCCAGACTCTCAGAAACATCGACAAGAAAAAGTACTCTTGATTCAATCAGAATCTAGCTTAAATCAAGAACCAAGCCTCTTAATTTAAGCGGATTTCGTTTTGATTCAAGCAAAAATCCGATTGAATTAAGAGTATTTTTTCTTGTCAATGTTTTCAAGAGTCTGGACTCTAGATCCAATGTGTTTATTTTTCCAGTGCGCTTGTTTTTCGGGGGCCCGATTCGATTCATGGGGGACAGGAAAACCCCCGGCGGAAACGGTCCCCGTCCCCGTAATCAATTAAAACGCGAACGTCAAACGGCACTCCATCAGCTGTCGAAGACGACGGAACTCGGATCCGAGATCGATTAATATAAAACGCGCGGCCCGCGGCGGAATTGCCGCTTGATGAGCTTTCCTAGTCGGACGCCGCGGCCGCAGGGCTGCGCTCATTTTTTATTGAGCAGGACGGAACCGCCCGAAGGGAGCCAGACAGTGGCGTAAACGATCGATTTTCGATATTCCTCCATTTGAACGTGTGGTAAATAATCGATTATAAAGGTGTTCGCTGCAAACGCCCCGTTTATCGATACTTTTCCATAGGTTTAAATGGCTGATCGTTCGATATATCGCAAAGCACGCCACGCCACCAGAGCCAGACCCTCGGCTTTCCCAAAGAGGGACTTGAACGCTGCCGAGCTACGATCGCACTTACGTCGTTCTTCGCCGATGGTCTCGTTCGTTCGTCGACGTCTGCTTTAGACGTACTCCACGACGTGTTCCGGAAGGGGAGTGAAAGGAGTGTAATGACTCAAACGGAAAATAGTATGTCTGAAACGTATTTATTTATTTTCCATTATTTTACTTATTTGTGTGGAGATTCAAGTCAACTCGGTCCGCGTAAATTCAGAATTAATTTCTCCATGTCTTTTGCCAGTTGGTAACGGAAAATTTGCACGCAAATTTTTTTTTGTTGCTTTATCTGAAAGTGCCTTTGAAGCTGATTTTGCAGTATTTTTTATAATTTCTTTCTGCAATGGGAAATTGTAAAAACATCGATTTAAAAGTGAGAAAATACACCGCCTAGTGACATCATCTGACGGCATTTCCAATGTAAACACATGTATTTTAGCAGATTAGGTTATTCTGTCATATCTCCTCCAGTAATTATTCAATTTGTGAACCAAGGGTATCCCGGTGTTCAACTCACTTGGTAGCGTCCGCTTAAGCACGGAATTCATCAAATTTCAGAGACCTGCAAATTCTCCATCGTCTGATTTTATTGATATCTGTTTTGTTTTTGTTCGACTCATCATCTGACCGAAGCGTTTGTTTCTTGTTTGATTTCAGCCGGGCAGCGCATTCGCAACCCGGGGATGGAGGCGGTGGGGCCTACAAGCCTGTACGGACGGTCCAGTCTCCGGCGACGGCCACATACTACCCTCCGGGTACCATGCGCTTCGTCCAACAGTCCCCCTACGGCACCGCCGTTCCCTACCGGGACAACCCTTACACCGTCCGATCACCGGTAAGTTCTCCACCGAAAATTTCCAAATGTTCAGATACTCCCCAGAGTTGCCACAGTCAGGGAAAATCGGGAAGTGTCAGGGAATTTCATAATGTCAGGGGAAACCCAAGGTAGATTTACACAGGTATGGACAGAACTTAACAACTGGCCTCTGATTGGCTCTCCAGCGGCCCCTTAACGTCAGCCATTTTGAATGTTTTGATTATTTCGATTTATCATGTTCGGTTTATCGTTTGTCAAAATTTTGTGGGATTTTTCGCACAATTTTGGTGATGCGATATTAATTTTAGCGTTTAAACGCACAAACGTTTGAATGTTAATTTGATTGTAATTTAATTAAGAAACGGGCCCCGTAACCTACGTCACGAGGTCATGTGACACGTACTGAGGCTCATGGGAAATTTTCAACTTTTCCATACCTGTGTAAATCTACCTTGGGGGAAACCTGGAAATGTCTCGGAAAATGACGCAGATTTCCAGGGGAAAATCGATAAATCACCTGTGTGTGCTACCTGGAATGGGTTTGTCGTTTCGAACAACAAACTTTGCCTGAAAACTATTTCCAAGTGTGTCATATTGGTCATCTGGCTTATCTTCAATTGTCAGGGAATTTCACCATAATGTATCAGGGTAATGTCAGGGAATCTCATTTCTAGATTCGGTGGCAATCCTGTCCAAATTTTCAGTTATCCCCTTCCCTCGCACAGGTTTTATCCCCTCCAACCTAATCGTGATCATAAAGATCGGTCTTTCGTCGTGGTACAAATCACGAGGCCGAATTCGTACTTTTTTTGGTTCTCCCCACCCCCAATTTTTTTGCACGTTTTTGCTTGTGCGAGCCAAGCTACGGATTCACGAAAGGACCCGAGCATCGGGACTCGTGAGAGGCTCCCTTCCCTCTCGCGACACCCGAGGCCCACGAGTTTTCGGCGCCCAGGCCCTGAGCCTCAGGCTCCCTTCCCTCTCGCGACACCCGAGGCCCACGAGTTTTCGGCGCCCAGGCCCTTCGGTAATTAAAGGGTTCAATCGCAGGGTCGGACGGCGATCGGGAGGGAGAGCGAATGGGCATAAAAATTACGGTCCCAGCTCCGAAGCGAGGAGTTAAAAGGTCACCGTGCGGATTGTGTGTAATTAGTATCTCCTCGGGAAATAGAGGGGGGGGGTGCGGTGCGTACGCCGTACCACCATAGTAATCAATCTCGGGAACCTGTAATTTTTCGTGGAACGGGCTGGAAGCTCATCGGCCGCGCGCACTTGACGTTTCGGAGTGGCCGTCCGGCGACACGCGAACGTGGAGTGACGCCCGGTCAGCCTATCGCGGTGACGTCACGCCGGACACGATCCCGATCGACGTGTAATTACGCTCGATTTTCCATGAATGGAGTTGGAAGTATTGATTCCTCTTTTTCGTACTAGTTTGCAGAGCTCTAGGGCTGCCGTACTGATTCAACGATTTGAATCGTGGTAGTTGTTAACTCGACTGATTTTTTATGCTGCAAAATATAAATACTCTCCTGAAAATCAGGAAAATGTCGGGGAACGGCAGGAGTACAAACAGTTCTTTGGATCAAAATAACCATCCGTAACATGTGGTTAATGTCCTCTTTCCAGGAAAGTTTCATCCCTCAGTCTGTTGAAAGATCAAACACTGGAAAAAAAAAAAAAAACACATTGGATCTAGAGTCCAGACTCTTGAAAACATTGACAAGAAAAAGGACTCTTGATTCAATCAGATCTAAGCTTAAATCAAAAGAAAATCCGCTCAAATTAAGAGGCTTGGTTCTTGATTTAAGCGTAATTCTGATTGAATCAAGAGTATTTTTTCTTGTCGATGTTTATAAGAGTCTGGACTCTGGATCCAGTGTGTTTTTTTTTCCAGTGCGGTTCCACAGGAAAATTCCCAGACATGTCCAGGTTCACGTGAACAAGTTATATCTTTACTCCCTATAAATTATAAATTCAAGACGAAAATTACCTTTGTAGATCTAACTTTTTGCGAGATTTCGGTAATTGTATTGCGAAGAATGTTAGATGCACAATCCTAGCCACACTGAAATGCTCTTGGTTCCTTTTGGCAAAATGAAACCCAATTGAGCCTGCAATATAGTAGGTCCTTTTTAATTTGAAGCTAATAAGTTTGTAATTTGAAGCTAATAGTCCCTTTTTTCCCAAAGTAATCCAATTCGAACTTTTCGTCCGGGCGATCGGAGCGAACTCGATTTTTTCGGCTCCGAATCGGCGGGAACATTTCCACGGAGCGGAACCCGCGGCGGAAAGCGGCTAACGCTCCTGGCTCCCGGGTGCGTTTGCATTTCAAATTCCGAGTTTCCCAATTTGTAACCGGCTTGTTTTTTCTGATGAATATTCACCGCGCCCAAGAAAGATGGCTTCCGTCGTCCAATATATATCCGAGTCGTGTGTCGCCGCTTGACTAATGTAGGCAGGTGCAAGGGCTCCGAGCCAACGATAACACGCCCGGTTGTCAAGTTTCGCATCCGTAGACAGGCCCGAAATCATTGTCGAACTGCGGACTGATTATTGAAATTAATAGACAAAGCTATAGACAAACGAGACATAGGGAGTATGGAGCGATCCTACTGGTTGAAATTGGTGGTTCCTATAAATTGGGGGAGAAAATGAGTGACTAACTATCGGATCTCTCGTGGGTTGCTGTTAGTTAGTCTATTACCTACCTCGTTTGTCCATTGCAACAACCTGCCTCCACCAATAGGATCCCTCCATATGTCTTTTTTTTTTCTTTGTCTATAGCTTTGTCCATCCATTTCAATAATTGACCTGCACAGGAGATTCGCAATTTTTGAGCAGTGACGTTTTTTGCACGAAAAATCTGGAGTGGGGTGTCAATAAGAACCTGGAACAGTTGGGAATGACCGGTATTTTTCAGGGAACGGAAAATATCCTAGGAAATCGGTGTTGAAGACCAATCACAAAACTTGACCTTGAAATTTTTATGGAGTATTTTGACAGTGTGACACAGTCTTGAGCCCCCACCCTAAGTCGCAACGTCCCTCATGTCTTCAGCCCCATCTTCGTAAGCAGATTTTGACTGGATACGGTGGCAGGCTCTCCCACACAGCCACGTGGTACGCGACATGAGATATCCTACCATTACGGCTTCCACTTAGAAAACTTCTGAAGTATGAGCTTGGGAATTGATAACAGGCAAAAATGCTAAACCTGTTGTTCGCCGTGTTTTTTTTTTGCGAAATTTAACGCAGAAATATTTTGATTAATCGCAGGTCTGCGACTCGTACAGGAACCACATTATCACTGACACGCCGCCGTTTTTTATTTTACAACATTTTTGAGTGCGCAAAACTCGTTTTGAAGGACTAACAAGAAGTAAAACTGGGTTGAAAAAGCAAAGCTCACACTGGGGAAAAAAACACATTGGATATGTAGAGTCCAGAATCCTAAAAACATCGACAAGAAAAAATACTGTTGATTCAATCAGATTTCAGCTTAAATCAAGAACCAAGCCTCTTAATTTGAGCAGATTACCTTTTGATTTAAGCGTGAATCTGATAGAATCAAGAGTATCTTTTCTTGTCAATGTTTTCAAGTCTGGACTCTAGATCCAATGTGTTTTTTTTTTTTTTTTTTTTCCAGGCACTTTTCCTTGTCCTCCCTTTCATTGGCTTACAATATACTTTTTAGGACGGCAACGCTGCTGCAAGCGCTAAGTTGAGGGATCGACTGCGCCCAGCGTTCTCATCCATCCCGCCGGTGCCCCCCAACCACCCCCTCCCCTCACTCGACTGAGTCCCAGTCTTTGACCTTACTTTCTTTTTTCTTTTTCTGTTTTTCTCTTTTCTTCTCTCCTCCCTTTGCGTCCGAGAAGACATCACTCATGTGAACTCGCAGACGTCCGAGCGGACGGGACTGTCCGTTGATGGTCAGAGAAAAATCGGCGCCCAGCGAATCCGAGCCGAACGTCAAGCCAACAGCGTCAAAATCACCACCCAAGAAAATGACGGGGGCCACTCTGAGATCATCCTGCGAAAACTTTGACATTATGCACTCCCGCAGAGACATAGAAACCAGTGGCTTGGCGTGAATTGCGATGTATTGATTGTTATGCCATTTAAACCCATGGTGAAGAATCGATTATTAAGGTGTTCGCTGTGAACACCCTGTTTATCGATCCTTTTCCATAGGTTGAAATGGTATAACAATCGACATATCGCAAAGCACGCCACGCCACTGACATAGAAACAATGGAGATGTTTATGCGCTGATCGGAAACGTTGATACTGACAATGACAAAGTGTTATCGTTACGTAATCAGTTTATTTTTGGAGCAGAGCTGCTGTGTTTGAGGTTTTTCAGATTTACGTATACATTTTCTCGTGTTAGCTCGTCCGCAAGGTGTGCGATGTCTTTCGTCGCAAGTTCTAAAAAAGGGATTTTCCGACGAAGCATGACAGGCGGATCCGCCAATCAGCACGATATGACGGGAGTTAAACTGTGCTACTCCGTCCCGACCGGTCATTTTATCTAAAGCTCTCTCTCGCACGGTTTCGAGTTGTTTCCGTCTTTATTATTATTTTTTTCGCTACTCGAGATTACGGCTATCTTCCTCGATACGGGACTTGTCGTAAATATTGCACTTTGACACTACTTAAAATAAAGCAGCTCTCTTCCGTGTTGCGAGGCGCTCGTTCGGTGTGTAGGATCGTTGAATACACCCTGCACGATTCAAGTCGAGTCTTTTCCGGCAAATTCGACAAACGTCCCCTACACAGGGTGTCTACAAGTCCGGAATTTCCGGAAAGTTCGGATAGTACTGATTTTTTAAGGGCGGTCCAGAAGTACTGAAAAAGTGCGGAAATTCCATGTCGTCACTCGTACGACAGAAGGACGTATCTCTATCTATACGTGAGCCCCTGAAAGTATAGAGGTATACGTAGAACAGGGCTCAAGTGAAAATCGAGTTACGCTCTTCAGTCAGAGAAGTGACGATGTGTCGGATTGCTATCATTGGAAAAACAGGACAAACGCTAAAGAAACGGAAAAAGAGATATTAGAGTGCTAGACCAAGCCAGTAAAGTTAGACCTAGGTTATGTTGTTCGGGAGGTGGGAGGGGGATGAGTTGAAGGGAAAAAAGGGGGGCTTCTAGAGCTAGGGCCTGAGGGAAAGAGCTAAACCACAAGCAGGATGTCTACGACCATAAAACCACCTTAGATATATTTCCGAACAATGAATCGTAATTACGGAGAAGTGGGGGCTAAAACCCCATCCGGGGACCGGGGGAAGGGGGCAGGCTACCTTTTTTTCACGCCCGTGATCGATCTCCTCTCCTGTTCGCCTTAGCAACCGCTGGCGCCGTGGTTTTTACTCCACTTGCAAACCAGACAAGAGTCGAAAAACGATGATCACGTTTTCACCCATTAAAATCTACCTCCCGAAACACGGTGGCTTCTTAAAATCCACACTGCCAATTTGTAAACGAGATTTTTTAGTGTATTTTCCGAAGGAAAAATACACTATTTTAGTTTTTGTTGTGAGGGGACCCGCTTCATGGCATCTGAGAGTAAAAAAATTCAATTTATTTGTCTGCAAGCTGGCAGAATAATTTTTTTAACTTCTCAAAACGAGAAACACCTCGTAATTTTTTAACTTCATTTCATTTTTTTCTGTGCTCACTGCATTGGTCGTAAAATGATTGAAGGGAGAATCAATTAGGATTCATATGTGTAAAGAGTGTTTGCTTGTATGTTGTTTTTATTTTTTTCCTTTTTAACAACTATTTGCGAAAGTTGTGTTGTAACGCTGTGTATGAGAACTAGCTTTCTACAGAGATGCGACCACCCCACAATTTTAAGCCGGCTAAATCATGGTTCATCATCATTTAGTGTGCTCTGCGTGGGAACATCAACTGATATCATGTGTATGATGATTATTTTTCTTTTGAATTTTCATCAAAGGACGATATCAGACAGTTTCGATCTTGCCCGCCGCACAATGGATCGAGTCAATAGGAGAGGTCGGACAAAATTTGGAAACTTTAATCGCTAATGACTCCGCTTTTACAAAATTTTGAGGTTCTAAAATTAGTTTTATTGATTTTCTCGTGAAATTTTCTTTTAGAAACAATCCTTGAAATTTAAAGTGTGATCAAATAAACATCAAAATTTGCTATTCTGGTCAAAAATCCCCCGTCCGACCTCTCTGATTGACACGATCCACTGTGCGCCGCCACGGTGAAATTACGGGCCCAGCCCAAGGATTAGCGCAGCTCTCCGTTTCCGCGGTTGTCATGGTAACGTTATCATGAGAGCGGAAAAAGTCAAAATTTGAACGTGTAAATGTGAGAAAATTTCGTGTCAATTCGAATCCAAATTATACTAGTTGTAGTAAATTTCTCGTGTCTATCATCCGACCATCGGTTTAAAATGTTCTCTTTTTTAAGAAATTGGGTCAACGTACGTACTTCATTGTATAACCTCCTTCCGCACTTTATATTGGTACTCGGAGGTTAAGGACTGTTCCTAAGTTACGTCACGCATTATTTGTACAGAAGCGGTCTGGTCCCGCGTGACGTCTGTATGACGTCACACAAAAAATCAGTGCAAACCCGCAGTTTTTTGCTCGGAAAGATATCGTTGGTTTTGGTTCAATTACTGACTAAAAAATGCTGGATTTGACGTAGTTAACTGAAGGGAAACAAGATAATTTAACTATGAGTTAAGACGCTCGTTCGTTGTTTTGAAGGTTTCGACCCGCAATTGGGTGCATAGCGGGGGGGGGGGGGGGGCTGCAAAGTTATTTCAAAAACAAACAAAAAATGAACCAAAATACTACTGAAGAGAATCGGCTACGAATGGCATGACGAAGACGTGCCTGCCTTGATTTTTCTCAAGGGAAAGTACCCGGTGGATCTTAACAGGGAGGCCCGAGTGACAAGTTCTTGAAAAGTCAGTTAATTTAGCTGAAGAACCGTCGATTTCTCTCTCTGCAAGCCAAACCGTCTAATTATTTTTATTCCAAGAGACTTCGCTCTAAAAAGAAATTTCTGTGAAAAACTTTTTCATCAGAAATCGTAAACTCCCCCCCTCCCCTCCCCCCAAAAAATAATAATCAAAATATTGAACAGAAAAGGCAGGAAATTTCATGTTGAAATTCCTGATACTTCGTTGGAAATTCAGGGACCTTTTTAATTCGAAGACTTGTCACCCGGGAGGAAAATTACTTATTAAAATGACAGAAATGAAGTAAATATCAACTCGAGAGGATGTGAGGAGCCATCCTGAGGGGAAGACAACTGCCGCTCCCCCTCTAATAGCGCCATCCCTTGGCTCTCCATGAGTGGCGCCCCAGGGTTGTTATTAAAGTGCGCCATCATTGGTCGCTAATTCGATGTCAACAACTGTGTTTCGTCCGTTTCACTTGATTTGTTTTTGTTTTTTTCAGACGGTCGCACCGGATCGACAAACTCCGGTCGAGTTCGTGCGGACGGAGGGCAGCGTCATGACCCCGACCCCTGGGGGGCAGCAGATGAGGCAGAGGATCTCTCTGCTGCCGCCCGCCTCCGATTACACCTCTGGCCTCCCTCCCAGGAGTAGGATACAACCGTAAGTCTCAATTTCATCAATCATCTAACTCTCTTTTCGAGAAAAAGAAAGAAAGAATGGAAAGAAGACAAATAATCGCATGGTGAACTGCGAGCCGATTATTGCAATTGATAGACAAAGCTATAGACAAAGAAGACATAGGGGATATAAAGCAATCCTATTGGTTGAAATGGGTGGTTCTCATAGACTAAGGGGGAAAATGATAGACTAACTGTCGGGTCTCGCGTGGGTTGTCGTTAGTTAGTCTATTACCCACCTCTTTTGTCCATTGCAACCACCCGCTTCTACCAATATGAGCCCTCCAAATCCTTTTTGTCTTCTTTGTCTATTGCTGTGTCTATCAATTTCAATAATCAGCCCGCAGGAGACATCCTGGATTTGATTTCTCAGGATCGTATTCGTAGTCGCTCCTTAAACAACTCCTTTCCGTACTGCCACCTAAGCCTTCAGACGTTGCCAAATTTCCTTGAATAAAATTCGAATTCAAAGGGAAATTTTTGAAGATTTTCTCTCCGATTTTTCAGAGAATTTCATTCGCAGCCACATCTGAATTATCTGAAAATCTGAAGAGAAAATATTTACAACTTTCCTTTAAAGTGAACATTTTATAGGAGGAATTTTGGCAACTCTCGAATGTACATACGACGTTTTTCCTTTGTACGGTAGCATGGGTGCATAGGTAGCACCTCCCACTGGAAAACAACGCCTCTGAGAGTCAAGATTCCCGAAAAATCTGACAAGAAAAAATGCTCATTTCATTCAATTGGATTTTTGCTCGAATCCAAAGGAAATCCTCTTAAATTAAGCGGCTTGGCTCTCCGATTCAAGCAAAAATTTCATTGAATCAAGAGTATTTTTTCTTGTCAGATTGTTCAAGAGTCTGGACTATTGAGTCAAGAGACTTTTCCAGTGCATTTGATTTTCATTGTGTTCAAGGAAGGTTCAAGGGAGCCCTCAAAATATTATAATACAAAGACAATTTTTGCCAACCCCACCAAGAGGAAATTTCAGCAGTATATTTTAAAAAATGGGTCCTTGACAGTGATTACAATGATTTGGCACTGCAAAAAGTACGAAATATGGAAGAAATGTCTTCGATTTTGACACACTGTTAGGTGGGTGTGAACCTACATTAACGTTTGAAAAACTCAAAATCTATTTTTTTTTTTTTTTCATATTTTGTACTTTTTGCAGTAATAAATAATTTACTCTTTCAAGGACCCATTTCTGAAGTTATACCACCAGATTTTACTCGAGGTGTGTACAGATTATGATTCACCATTTTTGAACAAAATGTAGCCACCACCGGCTCCTGAACACCAATCCCAGACCAGAGCCGAATGGAGATTATTATTGTCTGCCAGTTAGTGGTCAGCGATTGCACCAATTAAATTTTGAACGCACATCTGGATTTGATTGATTTGAAAAATTGAAAACATAGCCGAGCTACTAGTACTACCATTAGAAGAAATCAGAAAATTGTTAAAGAAATTGATATCAACAGTCATATTCAGTGGCGAATCCAGCAAATAGGCAACATAGTTCCTCTCCATTTATATTATTAAATCTATAAAAATGTATAGATTTTTGGAGTGGCCAGGCGCTCCGACAAGAATCGATTATTCAACACAGGTTTAAATGGAGGGAAGCCGGTGTTGCTAAATTGCTGGATCCACCTCTGATCATGTCAGATTGTGAAAATTTGTGCATTGTTTGGTAAATTTGTTGGATATACTGCACAGTAAATATATCGTCAGTCATTGACTCCGTGGTATAATTTGCTGCAAATGAGAAAATATTGAATCCCTGATAGTGAATGGCTTCACTTTCTCCAAGATACCCATAAAGGCTCTCATTTGTCTGATCTAGAATAATCCAGTCACATTACGTAACTGGAGAACATTCTCATGCAGATTGAATTCTTCTTTGCATATCATATTAAGGTGGCAATAGTGCCATGCCAGCATTGGCCCAGTAAATAAGCTGAGAATCAGGCTTTTGCATATTCTACTCCTAGTTGATATTACTCAGCTTTTCCATTTCAAAATGTCTTACATGGTTTAAAGTGGCTCATTGTTCCAATAATGTACCTAACATTCAATAATTCATCATAATCATTCTGTCTCCGTTATCTGATTTTAAGAGCTTTCAATAGCTGTGATAAAACTATTTGTGAAGTTGCTTGACATAATCAAATGTACCTGAGACTAACTTTTTTCTCTCTCTTGCAGTATTGATCAATACCGTGATGGTCTGGTTGCGCCTACCTCTGGAACAACTGTACAAGTAGATCATACTCCGCCCATCAAGAAAATTAGACTAGGGGAAATGAAACCAGATCTCCAAACACCTCTCAGGATAGATACTAAGGTAATGGAAGGATCCTGTTATGTTTCCATGGTCAGAAAAACAGGCTGAATGTTCATGAGTTTTAGTGTACTTTTACTGTCGGACAGTTTGGCATAATGAACTGATAAGTGATAATTTTGAGCCATGGCACTACCTACTGCTCTTTCGATAAGTTCGCTTGAGGAAATCAGGGCATTAGTTTTCTAAATGAGCTTCACATGATCTCCACAGCTATGAATCTGGCAGACCTCTAAAATGTGTGAATTTATAATTACATTTCTTACTCCTGTTAGCCAACACAAAATTCACACGAAAGATCAGGTCTTCCAATTAAAATTCTTCACCTTGACCGAACGCACTACCAGCCCACCTGTGTGGTTCATTAAAGTGTTACAGTTAATGATATACAATGACTCACTTATCACTAGCAATGACTTGACAGCAAGAATACTATTTCATTGACCTTCCTAGCTCCGTGTGTTTTGGGGCCTGGATTGAGTTCCTTGTACACATTTCAAGCAAACAAATTGAGATTTTTGGTTTTCTGTTTTACAAATTGAACAACAAGACTTACGTAAATTTAAAGTTACTCCATTGATCAATATTTCGTACCACTTGCACATTGGTTTTTTTTTTTAACAAGTGGCATGTAGGTCTGAAAGGAAGGTTTCTATTTTAAGTTATTCATTGCGAATACAAATGTTACAGTTGAAAGCCTCTGTTCAGCTCATTCAGAGAGTATGAGAGAGAGTTTATTAGTACATAGTACTTAATTTTTCTCAAAATGTCAAATCCTACTTTGGCAAGGGGTGTCTTTATACTAAAAGTAAAGACACAAGAAAGCCATTTCTGATTGGCTCTGGTATTTTAGGCCCTGACAGTGTCACAAACCATAATAAAGATAACACTTTCACTAATTCCAAAGATTATGAACTGGAATAGACCGGGTAATAAGGGGTACGTCAGGGAATATATGGAATGAAAGAAGGAACGGAGGAAAGGAATTTGGGAATGAATTGATCAAAGCCTATGAAAAATTAGGAAAAGTGTTCAATCTGTGTAATCTATATTCTTGTTTGTGACATTCATGAGCTGACCTGTTTTAGTGCTCCCTCTAAAAGGTCTTTAGGCAGGTTACTGTTCATTTCTAAAGATGAAAAACGTTGCCTTAGAACTGCAGTGTAAAAGATAACTACATTTAGTGGTATTTTCCCTAGGAGCAGCAGCCGACAACAATGTACACTCCACAAGTTGAAGCAATTTCTCCAACTCTTCCAGCGGATAACATGCAAGAGGACGCCAATTTCCGATCTACGAAAGATGAGCTGCTGCAGCAAATTAGTAAAGTTGATAGTGAAATTGCCAAAACTGAAAGCACAATCCAGAAGCTAAAAAAGAAAAACGTAAGTATCGATCAACTGCATAAGTTATTGACCGATTTTCTTCATTACATGAGAAATATCAGGATCTTGCCGAGTTTTATCATCACCTTGATTTTTAAATGCCCCAACACTTCCAGCTAGTGATATTTGAAAGTTTAAATGTTTATCTCCGTGATAACATTTTTTTGCGTTTATAGCAGGATTATTGTTCCATGGTGCTGATGAGCCTGTAGAATGAAACCGTCAGGGTGTCTTCAAGCACAGGAAATCCAGGACCTTTGACCAAACTTGGTTGATGGGTACCTACTAAATAAGGTACCCAGTATTCAGAGGAATACATTAAAAACAAAATCATGCTCTTTTTTGTTGGAATTTTAGAAAGAGAAATTCATCTTTACCTTAGTTTTGTCTAAAAAAGAAATTAAATCCTTAAGTATTCTAGACCTTTTGATTTCACTTAACTTCTAGCAATTATCTAGCAATGAGCCTATCATAGTTAAATACTAATAATCAGTACTAGACATAAGAAGTAGGATAAGGAAAGGAATTACGAAGGATTAAAAAGTAGGATCTTATTTTGAGTAAATTCCGGGCAGCGAGGTACAACCTGATTGGCTACGGAGATTGCGGAACATGACCGAAGGCCTACTCAATGTTCAAGACGCGCGTCTAGCTCGCAGGTGTATCTGGCATATAACTACTATAGGTTATGTCAGAGCTTCAGTCATTGATGTGTTATCCTTCAAGTCGACCCCTTTTTCTTTCACTCCCAATAGATCAAATGCACATAGCAGCAAAAAGCAGCCGATGCTTAAACCTCATTTAAAAAGTATAGGAGTCACCTGGCTATCAAGCTCAATTTTTTCAAGTCGCTTACAATTTTTTGGAAGCCTTGATGATTTTAGTTCTCGGAACACACAATTTATTCCATGGAGATATAATCCAGAAAAAATTAGGGTTGCCTCCATTTCTCAGGTGTCAAAATTAGTCAATAAACCCCCTATTTGCTGGAACATGGTGCCTGGTGACATCAGCACATTGCTACCAGCTCAAAAAAATTTAATTTCATGAAGCGTCAATGGCAAGATCCTTCTTTTCCACATTATTCCATGCCAATTTTTTTCTGTAGTTTCCTGCATACAAACAGGTTTACTCCCAGTTAATCTCATTTAGATAATATTGTCTTTTTTTCCCCCTTGAAGTTAAGTTTCCCTTTATTCTTAAATCTCTGCATTGTACCAAACCTGTTTGAAACCGACGTCACTGAATTTTGCTCTAATATTGTGCTCTCCATACGGCTTGTAGAATGAAATCAAATTACTAAAGTCATAGCAGCACACAAATTGGAGGTGTTTAAGGAATGATGCTTAGTTTTCCCAGTGTTTTAATGTTCTAAAAATGAGTTTACAACTCAGTAAGCAAACAAGTTTACGTTGTCTGTGGCCACTATCGATGAATTCATAAATATCAAGACAGGTTTCATAGTGAAATGAGAAAACGGAGTAACAGACAGGAGGCTGTTGCTCAGAATCTCCAGTACAAGCCCCCTCTGAGGGGACACCTCTAATTTTCTATCATTTTTCAGGCCGTGGCCTGTACCTCCTCTTTTATTCTCATTATTCTCTCAGTAGAATTGGAGTGATCTCGATCAAGGTAATTTTTGTTATCACCATACTGTGCTATTCAGTGAAATCATTCACACCAAGCTGAGGCTAACTCAAGTGGCTTTATACCAGTGTTCGATGTTTTATTTATGTAAAGTTTTGGATTTTGAGCATAGCTCTTTTAATTCATCTCCCTACACAATAAATGTGTAACTTTGCGATGAACAAAGAAGTCATATTTTTTTTTTTTAGCAAACTGAAGATTATATGAGGGCAAACATCAACATCTTATCAAGCGAATACTTCCTCTTAGTTGAAAGGAAGAAAATTTATGGTGGAAACCATTAGATGAATCTGAAAGAGGAATGTTCCCTATGCTAGTTTTCAAGAAGTTATATCGGAATGAAAAGCTAGTAGATCCATCGATTCTATTTGCGACTTAAATTAACACAGTATGCCTAATTTATGGACTCAAACATTGACAGTGCTAAATAATGTACCGATTATATTTCCTTAATCTATTACTAGCTCTTGGTACTAATTACATGTGACACCTCAAAATATTTGCTGTCAAAAATGCTCTGAAAGTTATATCATTTTTCAATCATTTTTTTTGGAGAAGCTATGTATGTTCCACTATAATTAGGTATGTAGACTTCAAAATAGTCCGTGGAAACATCATATCTTTTCGAGTCGAGTATCATTTACATTTGACTGCAGCAAGCATTAACCGTTGGGTGTTTTTCTGTGTTACAGCAAGAGTTGGAAGAAGCAGCCAGCAAACCAGCAATTAAGAAAGAGGAAGAAGAAGTGATAATACCAAAACACCAAAGTTTAGCGCAAAAAATTTATGCTGATAATAGGGTAAGCATGTCGCTTTAATAATTCTCCTGTTAGGAACTGTAATCCTGTTGTTAATTTCAAGACCAATCCACACAGGTCAGTCATTCCCGAGGACGAGTTTTAGAACTCTACTGCGCAGTGACGTAGTATTGAGTGCCTGCAATGTATTTCTTATGGGAACACCCATTGTGATGTAGCATTGAATGCCGTCGAGTTATGGCCGTGCGGGGGAGTGGATCTCAAAAAGATGCGCAATGACGGACCTGTGTGGATTGGTCTTGGTTAATTTTTTAGAGCTAAGTGACATACGGATACCAAGAATTCTGTCTTTCTTTACGGTAGTCGAACATTTGTTTTTGCTATCTGAATGGTTCAAGTGATGAATTCTTTCCTTATATTGGAGATTGAGTCAGCAAAAACAGTGGTCCGCTCTGAGAATTTAGATTCTCCCAGCACTATGACCATTTTGTCGGTGATTACTTACAATTCTACATCCTACCGCTGAAAGATGAAAAATTAGTTTTACTTCTGCCTTCCAAATTTAGTATTCTCAGTTATAACTCCGAATTGATATTTTATTTTTTTCTTGATACACATTGAATCCATTATTTCACTTTCAATTTTGTATCACCCTTGCGCAATTCTTGAATCATTTTGATCCTGTGCAATCAGAAATTGAATGTTTTACCGAATGTTAATGTAATATCACTTCTCATTGGTCTTGTTATTTTTTTATTTTGCAGAAAAAAAGTCAAGAGGCGCATTCCACTCTTGAGAAACTGGGTCAAAAAATTGACGTGGTAAGCATATTTTTCTCTCATTGTTGTGTGTGAAACTCAAGTTGTTTTAGTGCAGCCCTTTTAAATGAGCACCTAGCTTAGCTGTTGACACATAGTCATTTGTATATAATGTACTATGTACATGTAACTGATTGTTACTTCCATCATTGACTATAGCAAATTTGGTGCCTAAACGCTAGCAAGAATAGTGTTTAGATTCCTTGAAACATTATTTAATCCTCCAAGTATGAAACAGAAGAGAAAGATCTCAACATCTGATGTAAAGAAATTCCTAGCATTTTGAAACTACTTTCTATAACATCCAAAATTACCACATCAGACAATGAGGTTTCCTCTGAACAGAGTAGACATTTTAATCTTGATATTGCCTTTTTTAAAATTAATTTTAGCTACATAGATTACTTATTAGAGAGTTAGATGTTAGCTACATGCATAAGTATTACAGCCTTTGCAATAACCTGCTTTAAAAAAATTGTGTTAGAAGAAATAATATAACAAAAATGAAAACTGCATTCTATAAACGCCAGTGTTCCTAGCCCAAAACTTGATGCTGTTTTCGGCCAGTTTGGACGTTTCTATTCTACAGCAGCAGAGCAGAGTAGGCACAGGTGCCATTGATTTTGCTAGCTTAAAGCTAAGTACTTAGTTTCTATTGAAGAAAAATTTGACCTCCTAAAACTAATCCATCGTTATTTCAGCGGTGGAACTCAGTGACAAGAGGAGAGATGGATAGATGGTTCGGTGTTTCCCTCAGAGTTTATTTTAAACTGGAAAAGAAAAAAAAAGAGGAGTGTGACTGTCTCTAAATTGTATACCTTTGTGTTCATGATGTGATGTGTTTTATTTTGCTTCGGCTCTTATTAATCTTTCACGTTTTTGTTTCAGCCTCTGTACAACCAGCCTTCCGATACTTCCATCTATCATGAAAACAAAAGGAAGTAAGTACAGAATTTTTTACCTCTGAGTATAATTAAAATTACAAAAGTTACGTTAATATCAGCATATTAACAGGACCCAGAATCTTTGTATTTGTAGCTTTTTGGGGGAGGGGACTCCAAGGGTGGTATCAACTTGATCGCTCAAGCTGCAATCTTCTGAATCTGAATCCTGTGTCCCGAGCTTATGCAAAAGAGAAAATTACCAATTTGAAACTTTAAGTAAAGACAATTAGTAAGACTGAAATTTTACTGAAAGACCTTCAAAGATATACAATAGGCACATCTCCTATATTGCTTGAAAGACTAGAAGACTCATTAATTATGCAGCTATGTTGGATCTGTATGACGTACATGATCTGCCAAGGTTCCACATCAACTGGCTAAAACCCAATTCAACTGCGTTTTTGATGTCCTAGCACGTTCCTGAAGCTTTACTTTGGGCGTATACATGGTTTGTCTGAAAATTTTTGGCAGTGATGCTTGTCAGTATTCAAAATAGAAAATTCTAACATGAGATTTTCTTGGGGCTGAAGACTTATTTTTAGTTCAGTGACAATTTTCTACAATTTTATCAGACTATTTTCTACTTACTTATTGTCAGTCGTTCAAATGCCGACAAATTTTCAGGGTTTGCATAATGTTCACCTCCAGATATGTAAACAGCTTCTTAACTGTGTAGTTTTTTAACTTACGCTGATTATGTTTTAGTAGCATCTCAAGTTTTTACATCTTAATGAAATGCCTGTCTGGGTTTACCTCTCTTTTGTTAGATTTAAGTCAACTTTTAACCTTGTTGCTTTAGATACTTTCTTTCATTCACCGAAAGGCTTTAAAAAAAATACTGGGATTCCGATTTTTTTCTAGTTCTCATATTACTCCTAACCATTACTATGCAATTGAAATTAAATTCATGAGATACCTAGTTACTTTTAAAAAATGTCTTGAAAAGTTGGTAATTATGAAAGTGTTATTCATGCCTTTGCATTGTTTTTCCAGGCATATGTTATTTAAGAAACGGTTATTAGAACATCTGAGGCGGAAAAGGACCGAGCGTGAAACAAGAGAAAAGTACCTGACGTCAACTTACTCCAGACTTGTACAAGAATGGCTGAGGAAGGTGGACAAGGTGAGTTACCTATTTTTACACTCTTGTTTTCGATTTATCTTCGTAAAGGTATTGTTGAACGGTTAGTCGAGTAACCTCCTGGAATTATATACAGAGAAAACGTAGTCTGCAATGAATCAGTTGACAGTTCAATATTGATTGATCGAAAAGATTTAGTTTGCGTAAAGATATCGTCACCTTCCAAGGCCAAAGTATCACAAGCGCCATGCGAAGTTTCAAAATTTCCGCCGCGATTTTATTCTTTTACAGAGAATTGTTGGTTGAATCTATTTTAAAATTTCACCGAATTTTATCGGCAGTGCAAAGAAAAATCCAGTAAAATTTTCGGACAGCTTCGTTGAACAATTTCTCTGTAAAAAAATAAAATGACTGTGGAAATTTTAAAACGTCGCTTGGCGCTTGTGATACTTTGACCGGAAGGTGACGATATGGTGGCTGAAGTTCTACTGAATCTATCTTTTCACATAATGTAGAGACAGTTTTAGTCTTACAAATATGTATGATTTTTAATTTTGATTGTAGTATTCAGCATAGGTATCTTTACAACGTCCATTTTTAAGTATTTAGCGCCTATTTTCGATGTTGGACTCTATGAAGTGACAGTTTTTTGTACAAAAATTAAAAATATGCTCTCTTTAAAATGATGCAAGGAAATGATTCCTATCTGTTCAAGTAGTGAACACAAGTTACGGGGAATGTATGAAACTTAATTTTTAAATAAAATGACAACGAAAAATAACATGAGTGAAGTCGCCAGAGAGTAGCTAAGCTACACAAGAAAGACGCACCTAAGCTGCTATAGCAGAGATACAAGTGGAGCATAGGGTGCTTGGTCTTATCAATAGATTTGATTAGATAATCCCAACACTATCAATACTTTTACGGTCTACATCATGGCTTAGTTTAAGATTTACTAATTTCAATTCTTCCTATTTTTCAGGTGGAGAGCTCTGCGAAGAGGAAAGCAAAAGAAGCTAAAAATAGGGAAGCGTTTGAAAAAGTTTTTCCAGAGCTGCGAAAGCAACGGGAAGACCGAGAAAGGTTTAACAGGGTTGGAGCTAGAATTAAGAGTGAAGCGGATATTGAAGAAATTGTTGATGGCCTTCAAGAACAAGAGGTAAAAATTCTGTTTCACTTGTAAGATTTGTTCTCCATTTTCTGACGTAATTCCCCTATTTTATGTGTTTTTCTCAATTGCCTCAAGTTTCAAGAGATCGGTTGAGGGTTCAACATAGTCTCATGTCTGAAGTATATATGGTGGATTCCAACATCTTTTGATTGTAAAATTTAAATCAAGCTGTTCTTGACTTGTGACCGAATCCTAGCTTCTCTCAATTTCTCTGATCAAAATTTGATTCACATGAAAAGATGTCTGTTTCAAGATAGTAACTTAACAATTTAAGGTCCTTGTGCCCATAAACATGGATAAAAGTATTGTTGATGAAAGTTACACTCAGATTAGTGGCATTAATCTGATCAATGAAATTATGTTTTATCCATGACTCTTGAACTTCAAAATTAATCCGACTGCCGACTTAAAAATTTGATTCTGTGAATGACATTAAGCAGAAGCAGCCTGGAGATATTTCTTGCTTTCTAATTTCCTCTCATGTCTTCTTTTTTTAACTAAAAGCTATATATACACCATAATGCTCGAAAAATTTTCAGCACTAAAGCTTGCTTAATCTCCAGCTGGAAAACATAACTTGACGAAAAATTGGGCGTCATTTAATTGAGTTAGGCTGATTCTGGTTTTCGCTATATGCAGTAACTCTTATTAAATATGTGTCTTTGCACAGCTCAAAATTGACCAAGGCAGCCTGATTGTTGAAATTTTAACTGGCCATGTAGGCTAGATGAGACAAGACACAACCCTATATGCGCTGTGTAATATAGCGATTTTCAACTCTTGTTGTGCCAACGTAAATTTCAACGATCAGGCTGCTGCTTCGTTTAGATCCCTTAAAATGTATTATAATGTGTAATTTCCAGTCTGAATCCTCCAAAATTTTGATAGGCTCCTTGAGATGTTGTTAGCATTGAACCATATTTTTGAAAGTTTCGACAGTATGTATGTCCATGTTTTTAAGAAGTTCACTCTCAAAAGTATTCCAATGTGTATCAATGACTCAATTTTGCGCTCTAAGGGAATCAGTATAGTGATTTTTGCGCTTAGATATAACGCCTGTCTTTATTATTGGTCGGTTACCTCTCGCCTTGTACTCAAGTCTGGTTCCTATGAATTTGATCTTTAAAACACTTATTCCGATCAAAACTCAAAAAATTTCCAAAATGTTTGATTTGCATGTAGCAAATGTTTAGATTCTCTAAAGTATTGTTTTTTTTTTAAAATTAAAACTGAATGGAAGTGTTGTGAATTTAATTTTACTTTACTTTACGAAATGGCCTTACACAAAAGTCCCAATCTTCTCTGAAGACCAGTCAGGGTTTCATTTTACTGTTTTGTGTTGGGAGTATTTCACAGATTCACATGTTGTTACGTCCTTCAATGTATCATCATTTGTTTAAACTAATTTGTGGTGTGCTTCGTTCTTTTTTTGCAGATGGAAGATAAAAAAATGCGTTCTTATGCTGTGATACCCCCATTGTTATTAGATTCTCGCCAACGAAATATATCGTATCTAAATAACAATGGTCGTTGTGACGATTTTGTTACGGAGTACAAAGAAAGACAGTTATTAAATGTCTGGTCGCAGGCAGAAAAGGATATTTTTAAGGAGAAATTTTTGCAGCATCCAAAGAATTTCGGTGTGATAGCTGCCTCTCTAGAAAAGAAAAGTGTACGCGATTGTGTACAGTACTATTATCTTAGCAAGAAAACAGAAAACTATAAACGATTATTAAGTAAGTAACGCTTTCTTAATTATTTCTTAAAAAGTCCTTGGACTTCTGATATAATATATCGTGCAGGCCACACTAGCCTGTCAAATTGTACTGTTCGAAGTAACCAGGCTGTTTTAACTAAGTCAGAGTTTTAAGCAGAAATTTTGCTTCCTTGTGTATCCTAGGCACTCTGTGATGTTGAAAGTTTGGAAATAAAGCTCAAAATTATGCCTCTTGGACATCCTCTCAAAAAAAGAGCTGAAAATCCCAGATTAGATGCTGTTTTCAGTAGCTGATCGCGTGACGAACTCTTCATTTCTTTTAGATCGCTGATCATAAATGTAGTCAATGAGTCAATTGATGAGTGAAGTTTTCTGAAATCTTAGGACTCAAGAAGTGAACCCTTCAAATTTTCTTAACTGTAATGACTCCTACCACTTCTAAAATTGTAACGCCAGGAATTTGTAATCGTATTTTGATCGATGAAAAGTTGAGCTCTGGTCATGACATTGTTAGAACACACAAAGCCTCGTATTTGAGATCTATCCTTATTTTTGACGAATGCTCCAGAGGCATTTTCTTTCCTTGATTTTCAAATATTTCATGCGAAAACATACATTATTCTCACCTCAAGATACTGCATGATGGTAAAATTAAAATAACCAGCCTTAGAAAGCCTGTTTTCATTCAGAATTGTTTGTTAATAAGCCCAAAAGTAAATGATAATTTTTTAAAATTATCATTAGTAAAGTGTATTTTTGATGTAGACTGTATAGAATTGAAACAACCAATTTTGCAGTGGGCAATCCCTTTGCAACATCATTGTGATTTTCAGGAACATTAATACAGGCAACTGTTAGCCAATCTTTTCAACCTTCTTTTTGGTTTATTTACTATTTGTATTTGCATTATGCTAATAAGTTTTCGTTTGTTTTTTTCAATTTTCAGGGAAGTCAAGGCAAAGGACGAGGTCAAGTCGAAATCCTCATGGGAAAGTAACTGGCGGTAACGCAAATTCGGCTAACGCGAACGGAACGCCGATGGATTCAATATTGAATAGTGTTAGCGGTGTAACAACGCGGCTCCAGCGGGAGCAGTTGCAGCAGAAACAAGAATATAATAATCAGTCGGCAATATCCGGTTCTAGCGGTTTAGCGATCAACAGTGTTGTGAATGGTCTCGAGCCTAGTGATAATAACGAAGAAGAAAGTAGTTCGATATTAGCGTCTAATAATAGTAATGAGCCATGTGCGGGTGAAGACACGGCCTCGCTAAATTTAAATAGTAGTAGTAACCAATTAAATTCAAATTCCTCGCTGAATAAAGATGAGGTTCCGTGCTCGTCTTCTCCGAGTCCTTTTAAAAGTGATGTTTTGAAATTTTCTAGTTGTACAACGTCGACGACGCCGAGTCTAGTGACGCATAATTCGTTGCCGGTCTCGAGTTCGAATTTGGCCTCCCATCCAATAAGTTCGATACCTAGTGATAGTAATGGATCTCTTCTTCCCTCCTCTGATGCTCAATCTACTAGTGTCTCCTCTGCTTTGTCGATGACATTAAATACTGTGGCTGTGTCTTCAAATAACAATCATATTTTAAATAGGTAAGATTTTTTAGTAGTTTCTACTTTTTCAATCCTCTGAAATCTCCATGTTCAATGCTCTTTTGCTGTTTGAACGGTGCATGGCTTTGTTAATATAAGCATAGAAATTAAAATAGCAAGGCAGGTATGCTGAGTTTTTTTTTCCCCCTTAGAATTCTCAGTCTGAACAAGTTTCTATAAGTTTAGAGGCTCTTGAACTATAACCACTGCACTATATTTATACAGACTTCATGACAAAAAATTTAAATCAAGGTCTCCCTCAGAAAACAATACTAATGATGAATTCAAAGTAAAGTTTAAAGAATTGGAGAAAGGTTGCAATGATTGTAGGAAGGTGGAAGTGTATAAAAATCTCATGACTCCTCCAATGGAACAGTTTATTTATAAAAAGGGCCTCTGTGTCAAAACTTTGTCATCATTGGTTCCCTTAAGCACAGGCAGACAAGAGTTTGGTATTTATACCTTTTTTGCAAATCAATTTTTCATTTATTCTTTACCTGGTTGAATCGAAATCAGTCATTTTTATTTGGGCCTAAAAGCTGAAAACCGAAATTACTCTCCTGTCCCACTCTTTTTTGGAATTCTTTAAGTATTTCCCTGGTAATGTTCATCATACTAGTTACTTTCTAGAATGCTTTATTATCTTTAGAAGGCTGGAAAAAAAGTTTTATATCAGAACATCTGAAGGTTGGCAGGAGCCACTCTGTGGCCCTAGCAGGGTGTCTATTGTACAGAAAAAGCATGGATTTTGGAAGGTTGGTACAGGAGAATGGTAAAGGTACGGATTTTCCGTGGAAAGGTACAGAACTTTGAGATTTTTGTGATGAACTCTTGGCAGTGGTCCTGGGGATTTGCAATTTGCTAACAAAATTACGATTCATAACCTCAGTTTGACTCCTTGCTGTTTTCAGTTTAGTCCTTTGTCATTCTGTCATTCCCGTTTCCCAATCCGTTAAAGTTAAAAATGCGTGTGAGGTGAGGAAGTAGTAAGGAAAAAGCAAGGATTTTTGAGAATTGTCGAAAAAAGGAATTTTCGGGAAAGTGAGGAAAAAGCAAGGAAAAGGTACTAAAAACGCAAGGAATTCTAATGACTGAGTACTAATAGACACCCTGACCAGTCAGAGTGACCAATTAAACCTCCATCATTCTTCACCTTTGCGGGCTCTGTTAGCAATGCACAGCCATCATATTTAATGCAGAAACATTTTACGCGGAAGTTTAAATTTCCTGAATGAATCCATTTTCCCTATTTGCTTTATTGTCACATATTATTGTTTCCTCACACAAATATAAGATCACTTTTTGTTTTACAGAATGTGTCATCTCTCGTAATGCATGCCATGGAGAGAACATACCCCAGCTCCCTATGTTTATGCTCCTCAACCCATTTTCAAGAATTATTTGACCAACCCCTCGCCCTGTTTCTGTTTTGTTTTTTTTTCCCCTCAATTTTGCATGAGCTACGTGGGAGCAGCCTGCTTAATTTCAAAATGAAATCAAGCTGTATGAATCTACAAATTTTCGACCATGCAAGTTTGTCTAATTAGGAATTTAGTTTGTTGAAGGAGAAATTTTTCTAGCTTAAGCATGCATTGAATTTACTTCTGGCTTTCCTCATGAATAAACTGCTACCATTTACATACCCACCTCAATTTTAAGCCTTTTTTCAAAGTGTGAGTTACTCTAACACAGGCTATGGTATAAAGGTTTCATTGATCTAGTATTTACAAATATATTCGCAAAAATGTGCAAAATGGGGCGTTTGGCTGTTCTGAATTAAAAATAGCCTCCTGTAAAGGAATCAAGTAGCATATAGATGTTTCACATGAATTAAGGAAACTGGGTTTGTCAGATTTCTAATCAATGGCCACCTACATTCTGCGACCCTCTTTTTCATTAGCAAAAAATAATTAGGTCCCCAGGTGGCAAAATTGAGTGAAAGTTGCCAAAAATAGTACACAGCATGAACTGTCAGAAACTTCCTGTCAGCCTAATTGAATCAGTTCTTGGAAAAGCGTACAATGTTCATTTTCGCCCAGTTAAAGAATTATCTTCTTAAATGTTCTTAAAAACCCTCAAAAATGTTGTCTGCAAGTCTCATAAGATCCTTGAAAGTTCCTTATTTTGTTATTTTGAACTCCTTGAAAAATCTTGGAGAGCCTGTCAATACGGTTTTAAAGAGCTGTTACGATCTATGGGAAAAAGCCCTAGAAACTTTAACAAAATCTAAGCACAATCTGAGCATTGGACCGCATTCATAAATAATTACAAGATCGAGAAGTGTTCTGAGGTAGAGAATGAGGCTCCATAATGTTTTGGAAATTTACAATTCAGTGAAATCATGATCCCACCTTGTTATGTGTTTTAAGTAGAGATCTGGATGGTTTTGTTTTTTGTGAAGCCCAATTAATCACCATTTTCAGCCAATATTACCAAGTATTTTACTATGTTAGGAGTCCTCTACTAAATTCCGATTCTCTTGAATTTTTAGTTTACTTTTATGTGTTTATTTCTGATCTGTGATTCTCATTATTCCTAAACTGGGCTTATGTTTCTCTGTGACACTCTGATTAATTTTCCTTTAGTTTACCAGATCCAATTTCTCCCTGTTCTTAGACTGAATAATAAGCCTTGTTTGAAAAGTTGACAGGAAAAATAAGATGAGAGTCACTGACGATATCTCCTCATCATTAATTTTTGTCAGAGTAAAGCAATCATCTTTAATTTGACCCCTCCTCTGAAATCAATACTTCTCTGCCTTGAATTGAGTGAAAGGATAGCTTGTATAAAGAAAGGAAAGTAATCCATAACAACTATTGGCAGCACAGCCATAGGTGAATGAATATTTGCCTATTATTTGAATAAGTTTTTTCTTTCCATCCCCAATTCTCATAGCCCGAAAATTAAAACGATAATTCAATAATGGCTTATAATTCCCAGTTGTATTTAAAATGAATGCCAACAATAGGGGAACAATCATATTAAAACGCTTTTACTCGGATTGCTATGCTAATCAATGTTGAATCAAAGTTCCCCATTCTCTCCCCCACCCTCCTCTCTTCAAACTGTGAGGTGAGCTCCCTTTAAAATGTTCCATTAATTTCAATTACTATCAATCAGATATTTTCACTATCCAATCGTAGGTACCTTGTTGTATTCGTTCTTTTTTCCCCCTCTCAAATCCAGGTTTTTAAACTCATTCTCTTCATGCTACTTTACAAGCAAACTGTTAAAATTTACAGAAAAACCTTCCTCAATTTTTTTATTTATTTATTCATCTGTTTATATGCAATTCAGAAATGGGTAGAAAAAAGTGTGAAAGGAAAATAAAATGTCAAAATGTTTTGCAAATTTCAAATTGATGTGAAATGCAAAGTAATGCTACCTAATTTGCAATCCCTTAACTATAAACGTACTTAAAATTTGTGTACTAACTGAAACTGACTAAAATAAAGTCATATAAACTCATGATAGTAAAACATGGCATTCCATGGTAGAAAAAAAAAAAAGGTACAATAGGTTCCGTCAAATTTTTTTTGTTTTGTTTTTGAATTTGGACCATTATTCTCAAGAGTTTTTCATTTTGTCACATGTAATTTAAAATTTTGCTGGAAAGATAGTATTTTCCTCCATTCAGGAGGTTTTTCTTTCTTGTCAAAAGATCACTTGCCAGTTTTTTTTTTTTTTTTTAGTTTTCTATTTTGTATGCGATTATTGATTCCTATGCCCCTCCACCATCATTATTGCCCTCATATTACTGAACTGGCAACAATCATGCCAGCCCGTTCCGTTACTCCATGGCAAAAAGGCCCAAGTGCAAGTGTTAAATGAAAATTCATCTTGTAAATTCGTATGCACACTGAATTGGTTTGCCTATCATTAATCTCAATGAGAGTGGAGACTCCTAGAGAAGGGCGGCAGAAGTAATTAAAAGTTATTCAATTTGTCAGAATTAAACTTGAGAACCCCTTTCAGAGCAAGCTTGTAGGATTTGATTCAACAAAGATCCATCCCCTCGAAGCCCATAGCAGGCTTGTTTATCTGATGAAAGGCATTGTGTGATTAATATTAGAATTCCTACTTATACAGTATTAATATCATGATCTTTCAATCTGTTTGTTTTTCCTGCTTCCACAATCATATTAGACAAATGGATTTTCATTCTTGTTTCAAAGTCAAATTTTCAATCCTCTCCTTTTTTTCTTGTCTGCAAGAGTTAAAGCAAGAATAATTATCTATTCCTCTCTTCTCTCTTGCTTAACTCCCTCCTCCTATACAATTCCCCCTTTTTGTGTCCAGTTATATTATACACCCAGTTGAAACATCCCTATTTGTCAACAATGTGCAATTAATGCTCATGCCTGGATTTTCATGTGAATATTTGAGCATCTAATGCTTTTTTAATTTTATCCTTTCTCCACATTACTTTTTTCATTTCCTTGTATTTCTCTATTGGTTTTTTCTCTTTTCCTATTCTTTGTTCAAACGGTTTTTAATTTTTAAAGTGATAGCTACGCACAGGAAGACATTGATTGAAAGTTGGAGAAAAATTTCAGTTTTGAGTTTTGGCTTTGGTTTAAAAAAAACCATGCAACAAATCCAATGATCCCCTCATCCCCTCTCTATTCATAAACTTAATTTTCATTTTCTAAGTAAAGAACCTAGGTAAATTAAGCCTTCTTGGATGCAATGCTGCTTTAATTGTGCGGCAATTTCTCTCATTTATAAACCCTTTGGAATCTTAAATTCTCTGTAATTTTCAACCCCCAATAAAGTGTTTTTTATTTTTTATTTAAATATTAAAAAAGTAGAAGAAGGGGAGAAAACCCTTTATCATGTTTAATTATTCATCTGTGCTCGAACCATTGCACAGCCTGTCCTGAATTTATATTATTTTAGCAATGTTGCATCTTATTTACATTCCTGTTTCTCAAATGTATTCCATTTTAATGTATCTTGCACTAATGTTTATTTTATCTGCCTGTCAAACTGATTGTATTTTCTCCTTTTCTTTGTTACAGTGAAGTTAAAGTAGAAAATAAAAAGAAAGAAAGGAGAAAAGAAGATAAAAGTAAGAAAAGTGATGACTTAGGCGGTGATACAACAGATGAAGAACTGGATGAGAGTAAGTCAAATCTTTTTATACATATCTTTGATCTCTTCCGATTTTGATCTCCTGTATCAAAAAGTGTCCAACTAAGGTATAGAAAACTTTTCAGGAAACGGTTATAGTTCAGTTGAAAATTTGTAAGGAGTAATTTTCTGGCAAAAAGTCTACTTTATTAACTTGCAAATTTCTCAGAGAAGTGAAAGAATTAAGTTAAAAATCTATTTTTCCTCAGAAATGTAAATTTTAAGGAACTTAGTTGGACGCTTTTTGAACAAAAGCATTCATATTAACCCATTTATTCTGTATGGCTTTATTTTAATCTCATCGTATCTTATGATTCATTCATAATATTTGTTCCTTTTTCATTGAAAACCACAGATTAGTAATAATAGTAGAATTTTATTCTGTAAATACTTACATTTTATGTAGTTTGCCATGCAACATAGTTTATATTCGGGGTTTCTTTTTATTAATTACTAACTATAACAATGAAACAAAATTAAAAGCACTATTTAAATTTATTCAGTTCAACACAATTTTAATTTTTTTCTCTTTGACTAATCTTAAAATTGATGACTTGAAGTGAACAAACTCATTTTAAACCAAATAGTTTTCTCTTGCTGAAAGTTTTCACCTCAATCAGTTTTTATAGCATTACTATTGTCTACTAGCAAAGAATTCTTTTCTGATTTGGATGTATCATCTGATATGAGCTGATTATTTACCATATTTTCCTCCTCTGGGTGACACATTTTGCGATGTTTATGAACAAAATAGTAGCTAGGAAACTTGGATCCACAAGTTTTACAGGGGTAATATTGAACGTTCATATCAAGTAGTCGCACTTCACGCTTCGATCCAATGGACTGGGCTGGTGGTAGTTTTTTAGAACTCAGCTTCATGAAAGATGGATGAGGCACTGCCTTAACTTTTATTACACCTCCCATTTCAACAGAAGTCAGGTGGCGTTTGCTGTGTTTCTGGAGGCAATACTTGCTTTTAAAAGTGTGATCACAATAACTACATTTCAGAGTGTCTTCGCTTTTTCCATCGGCAATTTTTTCATCAAGATAATTTTGACTCTGAATAGGCATCTGTTTACTATCCGGCTCTGCACTCTTGGTCGTATTCAAGTGTTCCCCTTGGTTTTCATCTTCTCCGACCGCTGAATCTTGAATCTTAGCTCGGTAGTTGGTATTCAAAATTCTTTGAAACCTCACAGGACCATCACACGAGGCTACGTCTATGATGACTTTATTATTTTCCTCGTTACTTTTTGAGTTTCTGGATTTGCTTTTTTTCTTCGAGATTTCTTCGTTTCTCTCTGTGATTGTGACAGTCAGTTCATCTGTGGTTCCACTTATGTTAGAGAGACAAGGAGATAAACTCGAAACGGAAGTTGACATATTCGTCTCTTTTGAAGTTGAAGGTTGTTGCGTGTTGATGGTCAATGGAGGAGGGTCTACGATTGGTATTGGTTTTGATTGCACCGGGTGGAAAACAGTAGAGCTCATATCCCAGCGGTTTTTCTCCTGGTGAGGTTGGCTTTTCTGCTGCTGTATTATCGCTGGGAGAAGTTTCCGGCTGGGAATAGGTTTGATGATATTCGCTGGTAAAGCTGGAGTTGTGGGTGTAGGCGGCAATAATGCAGGAAGTGTTTGCTGTTCAATGAGGAAAGATCTGCACAAGTCCAGAGCCCTTGGCATGTGCAACAAATGCGTCGCTAAAAGCACACTGTATATATTTTCAGAATTTATATTCAAGTAACCGGTGTACATGAATGTTAGGAGGATACCAAATATTTCGGCATTAACGTTGGTTATGTAAATCTCAGGTGCGGCCTCTTGAGTTGCTAGTAAGGATCGCAGGTACCCACTCTGTGAGGAGAGGATGATTTTGTGCCCGCTGAATTTTTGCATATTGTCATCCGTGCCAACATGGATGATCGTGTCCGGAATAGTGACCATCGTAGAAGAGGCCAGAGAGCTGTTCTCTCGTAAGAGCCAAGCTTGATACAAAGAATACATTCCTGTTTAATAGGATATTGTCAACTTGTTGAAAGTAAACTGCGAGTTGATTTTTCCGAAAATTTCTGGTTAATTTAAATTTTCGTCGTGTGAGAATCGCACAAACTGAAAATTGACTATTTTCGGAATGTCCCTTTTTTCACACATAAAATTCCAGTCCATCAAATCACAAACTAATCACTATTTTCTCCTGTGAATCCTCCATCATTTTCACTTCTTCCTTGGAACTTGTCAACCGCAGAGTCCAATATCGAATATACGCGACTCGATGACAGCATAATGTATTTTTTTTTGTCTTGATTGAAAATTTCCGCACGTCCGCCTTAAACTTTCGACCCGGACGTATCGAACAGAGGAGTTTGATTTTAGAGCTGGTCCAAGATACACGGTTGAACGGTCGGGTTCCGGATTTTCGGGTCGGGAAAGGAGGCGCGAAAATTAGGAGCGATTTCCGGCGCGTATCGCTGGCGAGTTGCGGAGTTAACTGTTACCGCGGTTTGCGGTGCATAGCCGTAGCCACCCTCGCGGGCCGTAACCCCCGGTGGCGCCCGCCGGCCAATCAGGAGCCGCGCCGCTCAAGTGTATCTGCCCCCACCTGTGGCTCCTTGCATATCTCGCCCACCCTCTGCAGTCGCGTATCATAGATTTCNGGGGGGGGGGGGGGGGGGGGTTCGCGGATCTCGTCTCGACGTCGAAATATCTATTTTACCCCCGAAAATGCTGGGCGAGGAGGGTTACGATATGGAAAAAAGGAAAGTTGTTTTTAGGTGGTTCCAAACGCACGGAATGTCAGATTTTTTTCTTTTTTTTCTTGGGCTAAAGTTTCCCCGAAAATTCTGTGGGAATTGTCTGGAATTGGTTTGCCAATCGTGACGAAAGGAAGGTGTCCAATTTTTTCCGAGGAGCGGATATTTAATTAGCGGATGTAGCAGAGAAAAAGTATCAAGAAAGCCCCTAATTTTTATTTTTTTTATTTTTTTGAAAAAAGTCTGATCGGTTAAAGCCAGCGTGCGGCATATTTAGAGAGTCAGGCGACGCATATCAGAAAAATTAGCTGTGAATTCTGTCTCCTTCTACTCGACGACGATTCTGCTTTTTTTTTTTTGCTCTCGATTTCGGCCAACCTTGATGATTCTCTGTAATCTTAGGGAAATTTTGGGAAATTAAACATATAATTTTTCCTCCCCAGAAGACGCCTAACTTAAGCTTTTGAATTGGGAAAAACATAAATTGAGGGGCTTGGAGGACAAGGCGCATAAGTCTAGTTTTGGAAAAATTGAGATATTAATATTTTCAAGTGAAACTAGTCTTAATGCATATTCTGTGAAAAATTCGCTCCCAAAGTCCAATTTTTGAGCATCAAAGAGTCAGTGAGAACTTTTTTTCCGCCTTAAAAATCCGTGTGACTTCGAAACTTCAAATACGTATTTCCCGAAACAGCAAACACTGCTCCCATGCGCCTTGTCCTCCAAGCCCCTCAATTATTCTTCTTATCCTATTTTGACTCGAAGCACAGGAATTTTCAGTTTTTTGGCCAGGGTTAGCCTGTAAATGATTCAGTTGTTTTCAAAAGTGAACAAGTCCATTTTTGCATGAGCTTTGGCTTGCATAAAAAGACATGCTAACTAAGACTCATCGAGGAACGAACCTGTTCCCTCTAGAAAACAACTGATTCAAATGTTGAGCAGGTCGAAATTCCAAATTCTAAGGCCATTCTCGTTCGACTGATCGATTGTAGCGCATCATTTTACTCGGAGTCGTGCGCGATGGACGAAAAGGTTCAGTTGCACGATCAAATTGAGCCATCAAACTGAAGCTCTGATTGGTGGAAAAAGACGTGAGGTAAGGACCCGACCAATGAGATGCCCAATTTGATGGCTCAATTTGATCGTGTAACTGAACCAAGAAGAATCCGCCAAACGACGGAAAGATGACTAGACCGATTCGACGAAGCGGTGGCGGCGGCGGCGCAGGAGTCGCCAAGGAGCGAGCCCGCTCTAGTGTTGACATTTAATTTATCGAAACAAATTTAAATTAATATTTGATTTGAGGAAGACCGGAAAAAAGGGAGCAGAGGAAGGAGAGCCAGGGTCGCATCCAACCCCCGCGCCCCCCGTCCCCCGGCCCGCCCCCGGGGGGTTTTTTCCTTTAATTTAAAATAAATACGGAGGCGCGGAAACTTCCGGAAAAGAGGAGCGGGCTCCTCGAGAAGCTCGTGAGCCGCCGGGACTCCGCGGAGTGACTGGAGCTGCGGCTCAAGACTTGCCGCGTTTCGAGATTCCACCCTTCGGATCATTAAAACTCCTGCGCCCGGGAAAAACGGCGTATCAATGCTCGTGCCTTGCCAAATCGACTCGGATTGAATGTTGAGGTGGCCATGGTGAGGGAAAATCTGGAATAAACGGGAGAAGTCAGTAGTGTAACACAGTTGTAGTAACACAGTTGTCTAGCACAGTTTGTATATAACACACTAACACAGTGTCTACCGCACTGGAAGAAAAAGTTGCGGGCTGTATAGATATACCGTCTGTTCCCAAGGTAGATTTACACAGGTATGGAAAAGTTGAAAATTTCCCATGAGCCTCAGTATGTGTCACATGACTACGTGACGTAGGTTAAGGGGCCCGTTTTTTAATTAAATTACAATCAAATTAACATTCAAACGTTTGTGCGTTTAAACGTTAAAATTAATATCGCATTATCAAAATTGTGCAAAAAATCCCACAAAATTTTGACAAACGATAAACCGAACATAATAAATCAAAATAATCAAAACATTCAAAATGGCTGACGTTAAGGGGCCGCTGGAGAGCCAATCAGAGGCCAGTTGTTAAGTTCTGTCCATACCTGTGTAAATCTACCTTGGTCTGTTCCAGGCCCAGAGACCGACAGCTCCGAGTGCTGGAGCTGCACCTTCGACTGCTCTAGGTACCCGTAACTTTCGGTCTCTGAGCCCGGAACGCGGACGGTTTATATATACAGCCCGTAAGTACGTCTTCCACGGCCGGAGTCGGCGAAAAATGTGAGGAAGGTCAGGGAATTTCGAATCCGATGAAACTTGTCACCCCGTCGTAATATCTTTGGAAAGCGAGTGTTTCTTTTCGTCGGGGGAAAATTCGGCAACGCTACAGTGCTCATACCGCGTTTTTCCGTAGCGCGGTATACCGAGATCCACCTGATCGCCGTGCGCGCGGGAGGGGGGGGGATTTTGAGTCGCGGCCGTGTTTTCGCCCTGTTCGCTTTCGAGTCGATTTAACAAATTCCCCCGAGTCGGGAGAGGAGGAGGAGGAGCGAAAGAGCGAGGAATATTTTTGCGCGGCTCCTCGTTACGCTTCTCCCGGCATATTTTTTAATACATTAAATTATGAAGATCCCGGGCTTGCGACCGCTCGGCCTTTGCTCGGGCTCCCCCCCCCCCCCCCCCNCGGCTCCTTTGGTCCTTCGGATCCGCCGTTAACCGCACGTTGCTCGGTGCTTTTCTTTTTCACCCTTTATTGCATATTTAATTTCTCCCCTCTCGGTATCCGTGCCGTTTGCCGCGATGATAATCGAGTCAATTATTGCGAATGCGATCGCACTCGTGAGCGGCAGGGTGTGTGCGAGCGGGGGGGGGGGGGGGGACGATNGGGGGGGAGGGGACGATTTTTCATGCGATTGAATTTTCACGTGGAAAGGTGGGAGAAGATCTGAAGGCAGACGATAGGCTGGGGTATCGCCTGAAAAAAGTGTCCGCGCTGAAAGGAATGATTCTTCGAGTTGCGAGCCTGAATACACCGAATAAATCTCTTATTTCATACGCTGAAATATTTTGCCATCCCTGTTTTTCATACCTTATTTTGGCTGTATCAAATGAAAAAGGGAAAACACTATGAATGCACCACAAATTTCTGACCTCTCGCCTCCTTCAACCCCTGCGCCTCTTTTCACAAGGAGCAACTCCTCGGCTATATTTTTAGAGTCGAGTAATTGCATAGCTCAGCAGGCTGATAGTTGAAATTGATAAACAAAGCGATAAACAAAGAAGACTTGGGGAGTGTGGAGCGATCCTATTGGTTGAAATGGGTAATTTCTATAGACTAAGGGAGAAAATGATGGACTAACCATCGGACCTCTCGTGGGTTGTCGTTAGTTAGTCTATTCCTTACCTCCTTTGTCCGTTGCAACCACCCGCTTCCACCCATGGGATCCCTCCATATCCCTGTTGTCTTCCTTGTCTATGGCTTTGTCCATCAATTTCGACAATCAACTCGCAGGGAACGTCCGGTCCATCGTATCTTGTTGTGAAATTTTAGCAGTGGTGTTTTTTTAAGTACGTTTCTTTGAACTCTGTCTGGTTGCCCAGAAAAACACGGGTTCCCCAATTGTTCGCCAATTCAAATTTGTAAAAATGTTGAGATATCCTGGAAAATTTCGGAGATCATCGTCGATTCGCAATTCCTTTCCCGGCGAGCGCGAAAAAAGTGAAATGCGCTAACAATAGAGGACGGCAAATCCTCGCTCAAAGAAAGTGGCCGAAGTTGAATGGCGGCCCCGGGGGAATTAATTACCGCGATGCGAACGCAAGTGCCCGTGTTGCGAACAATAGTTCCTGTTTGTCTAACTGCTCCGCGGTTCCTGTCGCGTCGAGCGTGAACGCCCGGCCCTCCCAACTCCCCGGTCCCTCGGGATCGGATTTTTCATTCTTCCCCTCATGCAAATCGGACGCGTTTGTACTCGAAGCAATCCAAGTTGAGTATTGAAAAGGCATGTCGAGTCTGCTGAAAGATATAAGAATCTGATCGGAAGAGGAGAATTGGACCGCATTTTGCAATTTGGAACTATAAATTCTGGCTCTTCTGGAAAAATACTTATGTGCATAGGGAAACTAATGGCACATACACTCTGGCATGTTTTTAAACCGGGTTAGAATTTATAGTTCCAAATTGCAAAATGTAGTCTAATCGTTGTGGCGGCTCGGAAAAGGAAGGGGTGTGTGAACTTTTTTGATGACTTCGGGGCTTTTGAACTTTTGAACTTCTTTGTGTCAATTTCAGTGAATTTTCTGAATAGCACGAGGCTAGTTCCGTAAAATTTTCAAAATAATGCACGGAAACGTGCTTTTGTAAAAAATTAAATTGCGCAGTTAAATTTTGCAATAACTGATGTGGCTCGGTTCCTCTCTGCTAAACGCGGTCTAAATGAGGAAAAGCCTGTAGGATCTCATAGAAACAGTGTTCTTCAGGGTTCCTTTGCTAGCTTTCTTTCTTTCTTTCTTTTTTAGGAATGTCTGGTTAATTCGGGGAATTTCGATTTTTGAGTCCAGTCGCCACCCTGCCCCACCGTCGAATCGCAAATCGGCGGGGCGAGGGGACGACTCCGCCGTGGATTTGCGCGCGGATGACGTTAATATCATTAATCGGGTGACGTAGCGGGCGATGCGGGAAACGGCCGACAGTTGTGACGCTAATCGTATCGCCGCGGTCCCCGGCGCAGCGTTGCCGCATCGCACGTCCCGCGTCATCCCTTCTGGGGAACCGGGGCCGCCCTGCCCTCCCCGGAAGCGGCGACGCTGCCTCCTGTCCGCCCGCGGGATCCTCATACGTTATGCGCTCTGACTCGACTGACACGCTC